GGGATTGGGCTCTGCACTCTTAATTTTACTGGAATATGTGTGCAGATGATGGGATTGGGCTCTGCACTCTTAATTTTACTGGAATATGTGTGCAGATGATGGGATTGGGCTCTGCACTCTTAATTTTACTGGAATATGTGTGCAGATGATGGGATTGGGCTCTGCACTCTTAATTTTACTGGAATAGATCCATGGAACAGGAAGGCATCTATAGGACTGAAATTCTGCTCAGATTAGCTCTCTTCCTATTCTCAGGTCAGGTGGCATCTCATGCACAGGTAGAAATACGTCAAATTTTCTTCAAAAACAATCTGCCAGAGCAAAGAATTAAACTGATGCATCATATGTCAGTATACGGAGGTGGATAATTGATTGGATTTGCGAAAGGTCATCAATGTCTCTCCTACATGGTTCTGCGGCAATGTAATTTTAGCTTTACTGTAAAATTGAAAATATGTCCACTGGTTAAATGTTTGAAAAATCGCATTGATTAATGACTCCATTAAAATATCCATTCATATTTTACACTGTTGTGGTACATGTACATGACTGAAGAAGAAAATCTGCGAATCCCACCTATTTTAAAAAATGCTACAAGATAGATTAGCCATGTTGCGACATGGGCAGAAAAATCAACAGCCAAATTCCCATAATTTTTTCCTGTGCGGACTGCATGACAATGACTCGACTCTCTTTATTACAGACCTAGTTGACTTACGGGCTTTTCTGCAAATCATCAAGTGCATTGATACGCATTCAGGTGTGGGATATTTTATTCTTGCAAATACAGGCAATAAAAATGTGCAGTATTTAATATATGGACACACGCAACTGGGCCAAGTAAAATGCAGTTTAGAATAGCAACTGTACTCCTCTGGGACTCGGGAACACAGAGCAAACACTCGTCCTACGGCAACTTCTCAAAAGGCGCAGAAAAGGTAGAGAAGACAGGATGTACAACAGTACAATAGCTTAACAGAAAGCGTCATTTGAATTCACTCTGTAGTTGCACAGCTAGTACGTGCAACGTGCCAAGGAATGTAGCTGTGCAGCAAAAATGTTCTGGGCCTTGGTTTGACCCACACATCTCTGGACTATCGGCGTTTGATAATGCACAGGTTTCTCTTTCACATGGTGTACATCAAAATAAATCATACAGTCAGCAGCGCAGCTAGAAATTCTGGGCCCACAGACAAAATGTCACTATGCCGCCTACATTATTTTATGTTATGTATTGAAGGGCCCCTGTAAAGTGCGGGCCCCCTGAAGCCGCCACGGTACAGGCTGACGTCGTTAGCTATTGGAATGCATACAAAAGAAACCAATTAGCTGTAATTGTTAAGGGCGATACTGTGTGATGTTAATAGTTTGGTTTTAAAGCAGGAAAAAACTAAAAGCATCTATTTTTCATTCTGCTTAATCAGAATTCAGGTCTGCAGTGGATCAGGATGAAGTGAAGTGATGAGCTGTCACGCCACCACAAGAAAATGTGTCCTCTGAATTTTACCCATATTTGACATCATTGCTATAGCAGGGGGTAGCTAATTCAGCACCTGGGGAGTAATGCTTGGGGGTGGTACCTCAGTGGTACTTTGCTGGTTGGGGATTCTAACCTGCTGTCTTTTAATTGCAAGCACACTTCCCTAACAATTAGGCCACCACTGCACAGGATACCATAGCCAGGATGGCAAGCCATTTCAGGGCACATGTACTCGTAAGTACTCACACATACTCACGGGTCCTCACATGTACTCACAGGTACTCACATACAATTCTTGAACTGCAAGTGAAAACTTGTATAAACACAGAAATATCATGCGGAATCTGTCCCGGAAGTGAGAGGCTTCTGGGATATTCCATAATCCCCTAACCCTAATCCATGTTGGAAATTTTATATTTTCAAATATGAAAGTGTTTCTGTTGACTTAATGTATGTCTAGCAATGTAAACAAGGACTCCTGTTGCTGTGTGCATTTAGATAAAAGCCGGTGCGTGGGCTGGCAGGCTTGTCCTGATCGGGTCCGAAGTGAGCTTCCAGCAATGATTGTCTCAGCTAGAGAGTCCTGGAGGCGTCTTCTTGAACTCCCAGAAGTCCGAATACGGGCGATGTTTCAATAGTCAGTGAGCACAGGAGAGAAGCATGACGTTACTGTTGGAAAAAAATGGCACACTTACCGACTTCAAGGTCATCTCCAGGGCCACTACAAAAATGAAACGTATAATTAAATAAATAGCCTCATTAAGTGTGTCTGCCATTTAGAAAGAGCCAGGCATAGAGACATGTTAGTTTAATATGGGGATGATGCAGAAATGTTTGGTGATGGCACTTCATGGTAGAAACCTTCAGACAATAGAGGATCTGACTGTAGCTCTATGTGTAGTTGTATATCAAGATTTAGAAGGCTTATCTGAAAAACATCAAAATCACAACAGCTGTAATAGACAACATTGATGAGAGTCATTACCTTCAAGGCGTTCCAGCTTAGTAAGTTATCTGCAGAATTGCAGAGCCATGATTAGATGAGGTGCAGTGGACCTTGGACACTGGGCCAAAAGTGAAAGGAAGGTCTATATATAGAACCACTGTCCACTGGCTATAGCAGGAATGAAGTAATGTGTGTCGAGTGTAATAGGAACTGAGAGCTATTTAACTACCAACTACAAAAGTGTTGTAAGTGTCTTACGAATTATGAGTTGCTCATGCCAACATTAATGTCCAGTGGAACCTCGAGCCGAAAATATTCTATTACAATGGCCTTACTGGAAAAGCTAATGGTTTCCAATTCTCAGTCCTTTGGGACCAAATTTGGAATGGATTCAGATTTTGGGAAGAGACTGAGTTCAAAGATGAAAGACACAGAGCTAATTAATTATTCATCGTAGCTGCTATGACTAATCAAGGTCTCGAGGAAAAAAAACGCATGGAGGACATTGATCGCAAAGTTGTTAGCAATCTACGCACTTCAACTGAGACATGTAACACCAAGCATATGCTAATACTGGTCGTCTGCTGGTGTTTTTTATTTAAAGCATAGAATTTGTCCTACGTAGAAATTGAATATTCAACAAAAGTATGCCAATGGAGCTTGAATTTGTAAGCTGTATGAATTCAAATAATGGAATGTGTTTTATTTGCATTGAATTGAATTTGAAATTGAAATGCAATTGAAAGTGAATTTGTTATTTGTATTTGGTATGCAAACTTACTAGGCAGGTCACGTTCAGCAACAGCTGTCATGCATGGTACGAGACAAAAAGCACCTACAGACATTGTAATATAACATATACATATATGACATGCATAGTACCCAAGGTGATTATATATAGTATATATAAGGTGATTACTAACTCAAATGTGGAAATAATAGAAGGTACTGCTGTGGGAAGCTGAATTACACACAGATGGGGGCGGAGATCTAACTTGTTTTTATAATTGGAAACTTTTTTGTCTCCTGGCAACATTGTGATGGAGAATCATGTTTACAGAACAGGGTACCAACCACTAGCTGAAGAGTAAATGAAAAGTCAGTAAAAGAGGGTGAGATGGAGAAAACTCATCCAGCGTGGCAGAGTTACATCCCCGTACTGCTCCCACAGCACGCGAAACTGCCATTTTGACACAGTAACAGAGTAACAGACAGGATGGCTGTCGTTGCAAGAAAACGTGAAGCAGTTCCTAAAGAAACTCATTGAGCAGCATGTTGCCATCTTCCACGGCTACCTGAGGCAAGCAAATCACCCTTAGCAATAAATCAGGACGATGTCAGTAAAGTATCGCAAAGCGAAGGCCTCATGCACTGGGAGGTAGGGGTGTAGAAAGGAGAGTTAAAAATAAAATCTGTAGAACGGAGCCAAACGATTTTAATGCCCAAGCACACGTCTCTGACAACCTCTGCAAGGCAAACAAGTGTTCATTTCATTTCCTGTCAAACGCCAACTGCAGAACCACAGACGAGAGTAAAGACTTACGCCCTGCAGTCCGGGTTCGAGAGATGGCACCGAATCACAGCATTCTCTCCGCATTCTCTCATCACACCCGGTTATGCTTATTGATTTATACACTCATCGATACTAATAATGCATGGATCCCCAAACTTAGGTCATACGTTCACATCCTGCAGTGGCAGTGCATTGGGATATGCAGCTCAGATTTGATACACAAATAAAAGCAAACAATAAAAGAGGCAGACAAAAGAGAAAGCAGGAATGTCTTCAGCGACTCTCCGGCAAAAAACTTGCAGCCAAGCCAAATAATTGCATTTTGCTTATCCAGTTTTGCTAAACAAAAAACTGCTTCAGTGACTGTATAGCTTTTAAGTCCAAAGAAATTATATCAAGAATTCCTCCATAAAATGAAAATGTTTCCACTCTAGACAAAAGTCTTGTGAACTAAAGTTTATATAACTTATCTGATGACATGTCTATGACTTTGTTATTGAAGATATCAAATGTTGACACTCAAAATAAATTAAAGGCTTTTTACTTGCCTCTATAAACTGTGATATATTAAATAAGATGTGTCCTGAGTAATTCCGAATTCCGAAGCTAGCTCAAAGTTTGTATACAGAGCAAACTTGGGAAAAGTATGTTTTCATATATGCACAAGGTTCTTATGTTTATATAAATGTATGTCTAAGTAGATGTTACATTTAATTCTTGTAGTTTAATGCCTGTCTTAATGTAACTATTGTTTTAAATAATTGATTTTTAAATTACTATATAGCTGCACGTATAAGATCCTGTAGCTTAAAGTGTGATTAATTTGTCAAATATCTTTGACAAATGTGTTTTTCCAAATATATCTACTTCTATTTTGGGTCATGTCGGTAAAATAAAATGATTACCCTTATTAATTTATTTTCAGTTGCAATAGATATATATTTAAACAGAAATACAAATATAACAAATGCAGCACCATGGATATAATACAAGATAGAAGCTAATGAGTGGAACTTAATGACTGTATGATTTAGCACTGGAGGCTCTGATGCAGGGGGGCAAATCCAGTGCATTGAAGCAGAGCCATCTGGGACGATCCATGTGGCTTCAAAACCCGGGACACTGCGATTTCCTCACTGGCCCTGTGCATTACAGCAGAACAAGCTATATTATTACAATATTGTTATATTAACTTTAACATTTTTTGCATTTAGAGGGGTCACCTTCTCTGTTTATGACTTATTATTTACAATACATTAAACTGAAATTTATTAGTTTACAATAATTGTAACAATGAAATTATTATATATGTTATTTGGTGTATTAATAAAAAAGTGAGTTCAGCTGAGGTCTAAAATCAAGACCTTATTTTAAACATTCCTAAGTTATTTCAATGAAATATTCTTCCCAAATAACCACAATCAATTGCATCCCGAGGATCATCAGAAGAGAGCAGTAAGACCTAATTAATAAAATGCAGAATAGACTGTGCAACTTCGATCGATGTTATTGACAAGACAGAAAAAAAACAAAGTAGCATCCACGTGGACAAATTAACAAAAAAAAAAAAACACTGTAAATGAGCAAAGTGCTCTGTGAGTCATTCTCTATGTGGTTTCAGTGCAGAAATATAGACCCGTGTTGAAGGTCAAGTGGCTGGAATTAAAAGTACTGCCGCAACCAGTGCATAAACAGAGAGAGTGAGTGTTTTTAGCGTTTGATCGGGAGGGATTCAGACCAAAAGCTACTTCGCTGCCATTTTTAACGTCATGTGTTTCCTTGGCGACTGTGCTTCATCTTAAAAGGCTCTGGGCTCTGGGATTGTTAGCGCAAACCACACCATTTCCCGCACCATCATTTATCACTGTCAACACATAATGATTCCCCCAGCAGCTCCGTATTGATGTTTTTAATTGCATTATCTCACGTGGGGGAGGGTGGTTCGACTGAGGTGATCAATGCAACTGAACCATAGATTCCAGGGCCAGTGGATGCAGAGGTCCAATTTGTTCATATAATATGCTGACTATCTTTAACGGCCTGACCAAGATAGATCTGATCCGATGCTAGTCGGACAATCGCATTCTTTAATGCACTTTAAAACGTAGGCCAAAATAAACAAAAAAGTTGCATGGCATGGATGAAAACTCGATAAAGCATGTGTCGAACCATAATGTAATTGCGATGAGGAATTAAAATAAATTGCATTTCATTGCAAGTACAATTAACATTGCGTCGAAATACCATAAGAAATGAGAAAGGATGCTAAGAGTCTAAAAGCATTTATGTGTCATGTTTAAAACTTCACCAATTAAAAGCAGCGGGCACTTATACTGAACATGTATATTAAAGTGTGCGTAATAAGTTCTGACGTTTGATCCTGTAAACGTGGTTCGGGAGAATTAAGGAATGATATCACATTTCAGACGGATGACGCCATCTTCAAGGCTAAGTGTTTATATGATATAGCCTAACCACACACACGACTATTAGATTACACTTTTAAGATAAGATAAGATAAGATAGATAGATAGATAGATAGATAGATAGACTGTTTAAAACAATATTTATTGTAATGAATAATATCAAATTTGATTTAGAATGCATTTCACTTTTTTCTTAATGTGATAGCTTACTTTTTTTGTCGTAAAATTCGATGTTGCATTTTAAATTTGTAAAACTAAACTAATATTGTGAAAAGGTAGTTTAATGCATCACCGCAAAATCTGGAGAAATAAAAGGGGAAAAAAAACAATTCATAAATCTTTATGGCATAAGTAGTTTATCAGACTGCATCATATTTCAAGATACGAAAATTATCCCAATAAACGCATTTTTGTTGATATTACTATTATTTATTGCCATTTTGCGTAATGTAAAATTATGTATTTCTTTTTACTGACACAGCAAATTTACACAAAATAAGATCATATGAGCTTGACTGTTAGGCTTCATATGGGTTTAATAATACACAATATGTAGCATCAACAATCCAATAATATTTATAATGTAGTATTTAATCTCTTTCTTATCTTAAATACGTAAGAATTAGGTTTCCCCCCCAGGTACAGAATTAATATGTTTATGATTTAAAAAAAATAGCACTAACTTAACAAAATAAATAAAAATAATTTAAAATTGGAATTAACATCTCAGTCAACACCTGGATTTGCCTGGCTTCCGCTCCACAAACGTCTCACCCCACGACGCATCCCTCACTCCCGCCGCTCCCGCCCCATCCTGGCACCGCCTTAAACATCTCCCTTTCCCCCTTCATCCACCGCCCCGTCTATCAGTTCAGTTACATGGGGCGGGAGCGCTGATAAATTTGAGGTCACTTTGCCAAAGGCTGGCCAAGGTCAGAGCAGACTTGGGCTGTTTCAGGTATCAGCCGAGGGTATCCCAGCACGGATCTTCTCTTCACCTGATGAGATCCGATCCAATGAGGGCGATCGAGACGCCCCGGGAGAGCCGCCCGACCCCCGCCTGCGCTCCCTGCTGTTATCAACAGTTCAGCGGGATGCCAAAACGCACTGAACATCCTTTCACCTTCCCTTTCTCTTCAAATGAAGTATTGCGTTTCAGTCATACAATAACCAGTTATGTTAGCTCTGCGCTTTGATCTCGGTACGTCCCACAGTAACAACGAACTAATGTGGTACGACTCGTGCAAGCAGAACTGGAAGATGCATAACATTGGAAGGGGTACATTTCTGGTATAAAAAAACTAGCCAAACATGGTTTCTAAATGATACCTGCTTACTGGTTTTATTTGAATCGGCTAAACATGTAGAAATATATTTTAATTTGATGTGTATTTCAGTTTACGGGTTCGTCTTATTTTATAGTTGTTTCATTTTATAATTTTAGTTACACTTTTCTAAACCTTTTTTTTTTTTTGCTAATAAATGTTTTAATAGGTAGATGATAGGCTATATGGATTCTAAGGCAGAGGCCTTAACTGGGCGGCCAGAAAAATAATCTCAGCATCTGTTAGTTTCCAGATGGAATGAAATGAATGGTTATAGCGCTAAAAACCTGCCAGTTCACAAGTGTAGTAAATTACTCATTAACGCTTAAATTTTTTTTACTAATGAAACAGACCGCGGTAATAACCTAACGCAGGTTATATGTATAAAACAAACAATACCGGTGCACCTTGGGCGATGCTCATTAAATATGAAAAACTTTCATTGCTGTTGTGGAAATTATGGGAAATTACGCAGTCGTGCACTTTGTTTTCCTGTGACATTCACCTGTCTATTAAATTTGTGTTGAGTCCGTGGGGATGACGGTGAATTGCTGAGTTTTCTCTGGAGATGATTCCCTGAAACCTTCACTTGGGGTATTGTGAGCGAAAGCAGGAAGCAGAGTCATTTCTAACCTGGAGAAACATGACCAGATGTGACATAACTTCGGCTGTCATCGCTACTCGTGATTGCCTTTGTTTTAAGCGAATTCTGTCAATTTTATCACTGCATCCTTTTTGCATGTAGTCGCATTGTGATGCAGGGAGGCTTAAATGTACATCGAATCCCCTTGAAATTCTTCTTTGACGATATTATTTATTTTTACGTTGCTACATTTACATTATGGCGCGCTCATGTTTTGTCAACCTTTGAAAACGCATTTAATACACCAATGTAGAAGGATAAGAAAATGTTTAAGAGGAATTCAAATACAATTCGATTCTTGAAAGGGCGTATTAGATAAAAGAACAGGGAAATAAATTGCCTGTCAAAAGTAATTGCACGGTCTGTGTTTTATATAGACAGTGCGCTTATTTATTAGATAAATGTCCGAGTTAACGTTTAAAGATGTTCATCTTGTCAAGCGTGTTTTGCTATGTGTTTCATACCATACTGCTGTTCTGGTGCCGTAAGTGCTGTCCCGGCTCCACGGGACTGAATGTGACAGGCAAAACTGCCAATGTCAATTTGCAATGTGTTGTTAAAAACAGCAAGAACACATTCAAGTTAAACGGTTTTATTTCAGAAATACAAACAGCCCACAGATAACTATATTGGCGCGTTTCAGTATAAGTAAAGGCATCATCCGTGTTTTATTGGTACAGTAAACAACGTGTATGACAAAGAAAACAAAAGGCTGCATTTGTAGGCCTACTTATGGGTATACGAAAAAATACCAGGTAATAACTGAAATATGTTTAATATGTTTAGTGGATATTTTAAAAACAATGTTCTGCATTTTATGACATTCATTTATTACACATTCCTTAAAAACAATAGACTCGGGAATTAATTTAAAAATTCTAGGTTTGTAAGGTCCAACATGTAGCTTTCCATTATTATTCTGACTGCATAAAAACAGATACTTTGGGCCAGGGTTCTATTTTTTTCCTTTTGGCATGTATCTAAGTAAATGTTTTCCAGAGTCATATTAAATGACCGCGCCAGAGAAGGACTCTGATTCCCTTTATTCTTTGCTTCAAGACTTTATTACCAAACAACCCTTTGGGAGCCGAAACCATTATGTATTTTAAGAGATATCGTTATAACAGCAGAGGAATTATTGTTTTAGATGGGTAACGAAAGAGAAATTCGAATGTGCTTATTTATGGCGATGCACCATATTCTGGGATTAAAATGTAATACGAACGGTATTATTATTCTTCTTCTTCTTATTATTATTATTATTAGTATGCCGTTTAATTACACAAAAACAAAAACGAGTGAAGGAAAAACGTCTGCAAGAGGCGGTCTCACCGTTTCATTTTCTAAGCTGCATTTTCACCTTCGAACCGAAACTCCGGGCTTATTAGACATACAGCGAGATGTGTGCGCCGTTGCTATAGTCATTAGCAACTGCCTCTTCTACATGGAGACGCTTTTACTGGCAGGCTTGTGGAAACTATTTGCAAGTAATTATTGGGAGATAGACTGTGCCTACAAATACATTTACTTCATCATGCGTTTAAAAAAAAAACTCCTGTTTCCCATAATTTCGTTCCTCTCAGTGACAACGCTATTCCAGGAGGAGGTGCAGGCGTTGTAGTCACCGGTTGGAACATTTTTTCCCTTCGTTCCCTTCGTCACAGAATGTGAGTAAATGCCATCGATGTCTGCTTATGAGCCAACAATAGGCTCCTGTTCACGGACATGAAAACCTTGGACGGTTGGGTATTTTCTCCCTGTGAGGATAAATGGTGGCATGAAACGGGAAAATGCCGGACAGTAATTGTTAAGTAATCAAAACCTGAGACCCGAATGCTACACTCAGTCATGGAAGACACTGAACAGTTTATTAGCTGATGTCAGAGCTAGCTTGTTCGAAAATTGAATGACTGTCCCAGGAAATTAGGTATAAAAAAAGGCTAGTTTACTGAGAAACACATGGCTTACAGGACTGACCCGCCTGTCTTCTCTCTACCATAAGCATTCGGTCGCTGTGCTTTACTGAGTTGCAAACAAGAACCTTTAACTTGACACCTAGTTTTCTCTGCCCTAAATCTCCCCCCTTCTGTCTTTGAAATAAAAATCTTCGGCAGTTAATTAAGACCATCAATCCATACACTGCTTCGCTGAACATATGCAAAGGTGCACATGAAAATTAAACGGTTTCAGTATCAAAGGATGCAAGAAATGCACCTTTGCTTCCATAATGACTCATCGGACTCTGTGGCTTGGCTTTCCCAGGTTCCCAGGATCTGATTCTGCTTCCCCTTGTGGAACGTTTCACTAGACTGTTGCCCAGGTCAAATCCACTGGGGACAGCACTGGTTTATGTACACGTGGAGCTGTCTGTCCAAGGCAAACACTCCCAGCACGGCCTGGTGAAGACTGGTGAAACAGAGGGGTGGGAACCGACCCCCGCCCGGCTGCCACCAGTGGGAAACGTCAGTGTCAGGCAGGCAAAAGCCAAGGTTCAAGTAACGGCAAGCCCCCCCCCCAAAATGCACGGACACTGAAATAAACACAACTGACTTCTGGCTTTAAAAAAAAAAAAAAGAAACAGGAATCAAACCTCCAATCAATAGAAGGCAAAATGTACAGCCGTCTCCAGGAATCGTGCTATGGGACTTACGAAAGTTTGTGTGGCACTGCTGTTTTCTTAAGAAAAAAAAAAAAAAGGAAAAAAAGGAATCAGGGATTGCACGATTGACAAAGCAAATTTTGACTGGGGGGGGTGGGGTGCTGAGGAGGGGTGGGGGTGGAGAAAGAACAGGGAGCAGTAAAGTCAGTATTCTCCGCAGACTTCCAAAGAAAAGCAATGGGCTCCGTGCTTTGAAATTTATGGGCCATAGACAGTTTATAAGAAGAAATGTAGCCCATCCAAGTAGCTGGCTGATTGAGCACATGGGAATTCTCAGCACAGGAAGTCTAGTTTTGGAATATTACTTATCCTGATAAAGATGTTTTTCTTGTGGAGTAGAGCTGCTGGGAGCCCAATGGCCACTTACTACTTTAACCCAAATATAAGGGGGAACTACTGAGCCTTTAAGTTTTACATCCACAAACAGCTCTCCCCGTGAGCTTGGGTTCCTACTCTATCTCTCCGTTTCCCGAAACGCTGGCAGTAGTTACGTGAAGGTAGGGAGAGAGCAGTCAAAGAAAGCGTTTAAGGCTATTTTTCTAGGTAATAGGAGTGAATGTGCAATTTCACATTAGAACACATGCAAATTAATACTAACACCATACAAACAAAGAGGAATTTCTACTGTTCTGCAAAAAGTTATCGGAATCTTGTTGGATGGCTAGATGAACACCGCTTCAGTTCCCAAACCTTTCCTCAATGCCACCTCACCCATTCCATGTATTCATTAGATTTCACCACCAGTTTAGTTAATGAATTAATTAATTCAGTGAGGTGTCGATCAGCCAGACAATTGGACATTGCTGTATTGCATGGTTGCTGCAAATACTGGGGTGACTTCAGGAGAGGTTTCGAAATGGCTAAGCTGATACACTTTGACAGACACAAAGACACCAACATTAAAATCATTTAGTCATCATTTTCTGTGACTGCCTAAGATTTTTGTGTGGTACTGTAAATTCATTTAAACTTTTCAAATAATGGTAAGCTTGGTGCGAAGGAAAATCAAAAGAGAAGAAAAATAATGGCTGTTTAAATGATATCTGTGTCCTCGGTGCATGGACAATAATATATAGGAATTGTGTATAACAAATACAGAATTGAACAAAATAGATTTTGAGTGGGAAAATATGTAAGGATAATGTCATATGTCAATATGTAATGAATATCACACTTGGCCGCATCGCAAGCATGAGAAAAATCCTCCCAGCGTCCAGTCAATAAACGGCGCCGCTTAAAAGCAGGGAAAGGGCCCTGAAACAAAATGCCCAAATACTGCAGAGACATCAAAAGGTCCCCAGCCATCCTTCACAACTGCTCCGTAGCTGTTTATGTAAAAATAGATCCAGGGCCACTTAGACATAAAAGAAACAAATTCTTCAGACGAGATGGCCGTTCCTGCACAAGGCTGCTCGTTTAACACGGAACGCTTTTAGCACAGGGCAGAAGAGCTGAGTCAAGGCTATCGCGGGCGGGGCGGCGTTAGAGTTACCCATGACGAGGCGCTCTGATTTATTAGCGATGAATCAGGTATAGGTGCCTCTAAACAGCACATCCATGACGGAAAACTAAATTTCAGCCTGGCAGATATTATTCATCGATGCAGGGACCTGAGCAGGGCCTGGTGGGGAAAATGCAGCCCTAAATCAACAGGTATTCCCCCATATTCATTTAACAACTGCAGGTAAACAGGAGAGAAAGCCACCTGTCAGCCAAACATTTCAAATTAATACGTATAAACACAAATTTACCTAATACCCGGTGCTTGGAAAGATTACCGCTGCATTACTCAAATTTCATACTCACTACACCATCCCTGGTGATCCCCTAGACTCAGGAATTACCACACAGATGAGCTGTTAAAATACTACATTAAATTAAGCGTCATTATTTTGCTTGTTATTATACTAGAGCTGCACTGATGAGAGAGACAGAGCTGTATTTCAGTGGGTTACTGGGAGGCCACTGGCTGTCCCCTGTGTCTTACAGTGACCGCTAAGTGCACACTGCACAGTGCACCTTCACACTTTCATCTGAAGATGAAGCCTCAGATATATTAGTCCTTGTAGTTACATACCAAAACAAAGCGGTCAGTGTTAATTAAGTTCTTAGGACAATATCAGATTTAACTTGTTGCTGAGTAAAGAAATGTCTTGAGGAAACCTGTGCAAAATACTCACTGCAATACTCTGGCCTGGTTTTATTACTGTAAAAATACTCATTTATAGGGAACCTGCAAATTATGCTTATTAGAATTGATTTTACGTTATATTACAATTCTGTTATCTATCTGATTTCAGTCCAATCCACTTTTTAATTGTGTATTATTATTTTTTTTAACAGATCACATTAGTTCAGTTTTTGCCTTGTTTGGATGTGTGCTGTTTGGCTCATACTCCCTCTAGGTCGCCGTTTGGGTTGTCAGTCATCGCGTCCGAACACTGAACGCAAACTGTCGGTCGCTCCAGCCGCATTGCCAGCCGTCATGTACATTTTTACCCGTCTGACCGCCTCAGCCGTTTCCCACAGAGTGCGTCAGAGACCGCCATTGAGAAATTTACTTAACTGGATCATATGAACACTGACATGTTGCACGGTAGTAAACTTACAGGAAGATTCATAAAGATTCAGGCTTAAATTTAAAATGTTTTGTTTGTTTAAAAAGTCAGACAGTGGGGGTGAATTCTGCTGTAAACAGAATACAAGGACAGTGGACAGAAACTGATAATCTTTTTCTTTTGCTTCTTCTTTACTTCTTCCAGTTATTCTTATTATTAACAATTGCAATAAAGCTAGTTCTGTAGCCAATCAGGGTGTCCTGATAGGTCTCCCACCTGGACCAATTCCCCTTTTCCTGCTCTCATATGGGACAGTAGACCTTGGGTTTTTTATTTACGGCACCAATCAGCTTTACCGATGAATTGTGGCTGGATGTTAAGCTGCACTGAAGTCTCAGTCAATGTTTATGTCCACCAATCAAATGCACTGTATTTATACCACTGGATGCTCTGAGGCACGGAGGAACATACAGTCACATATCTCATTAAAAGAGTCAGAAGAAAAAGATCCGTAAAACAACATATCTAAAGTAAACTGCAACAAAACTTAAGAATCTAAGCTTCCAAAGAACAAATAAGTGCAAAATATGTTTCATGAAAAAAACTAATTAAGTGGGATCTTACAACACATGCGAGAATCATACAGTGAGTGTTGCTTCGTTTTTTACGGCTGCTGTATCTGGCGTACTGTCTCAGCATTTTATTATTTATTAGTTGTACTCTGATGTATTCAAAGAAATAGCCAGCACTCTCTTTTAATGTCTATAATCGGGTTTGGACCGTGGTTTGGGTTTTCTGGACTTTGCAGCCATAAAAAAAAACAAGCAGGAGCTGACAGCTGCTGTTTCCAGCCCCTGCTATAGTCACATTCAGCATGTATGTGCCTAAACAGGCCAACTAAAATGCTTTACAACAATGAAAGAAAAATCATAGGGAAAAGAAGCCAAGCTTTTCCTGTCTGTAGTCTTCAGGTTGTCTGTAGCGGTAGGCCAAGGCACAGGATCCTCGTGTGTGTAATTCATCTTACACGGCCTCTAACAGCACACGCTAGAGTGCGATTCGCTGCTTAGCGTGTTAGCATGTGGTCAGGAGGCTACCTCTCTGGTGTCTTTAGGGCATGGAGTTGAACAGTAGATGGTCATCTCCTTCATGGGCAGCCAAGAAGCGGAGGAGCAGATTAAGGAGGAGAAACAGACCCTCCAGCGATACGACAAAGCGCCTGGATTTCTCTTAATAATAATGTTTTCTTAAAGCTAAGCAAACATTTGTGTGCTGTATCCAAAACATGCCTTTAAATGGAAGTTCAAAGGAGCTTTGCTGAAGGTGAACCTACTGAATTGGTGACTGGTGTTTGGAG